AATAGACCATGGAGTTTAATACACTCATGTTAAAAGATTTCATAATACTAAGATTAGGTTACACACTTAAATATGATAAAAATTATGATTATAATGAAGTGTTAAGAAAACTCAAATAAAGCTTGCAGAAAAAAAGTTCATTTGGGAGGAGTTTAATTCAATGTAAAAGCTTAAATTTTCAGAATTTACAACAATAAAAAGTTATTGTTCAGATAATAATAATGCAGTGATTGCTGGGGAAGTTATTTTCAACTGCCTAATATTAAAAAGAGAACAATGAAGGGAAAAAAAGAATAAACACTTTATTCAACACAAAAAAAGTACCTCTGCAGTGAGCTGTCAGATAAAATAATATAAACAACACATTCGTGCTTACTTTTAAGGTTGTAATTATGTACTAATATAAATTTAACCTTATATAAAAATTTAGAGGCACCAGATTTGATTAGTGTGAAAGAGTTATAGCCAGATGAATACTCTATGTAGCATTTAATTTTAATTTTCAATTTGAAAGTTATTATATTACTATATTAAAGCATGTAAAATTTGTAGTCAGCATAACAGTTTCAAATCTTTTTTCTTAATTGACAACTATGGTGGCACACGAAGCATCATTCTCTCCCAGCAGTTTCATTTTAAACAAATCATTCTCAGATATAAAAATAGCCAATTACATTAAATTTTATATAAGGCATTTTCGCTTCTCATATAGGAAGAGCTATATAAGCAGCTTCCATGCTATATATCAGAGCAAACGGCTTTGAATACATTCTCTGCTGAGACTCCATTCAGAGATACAAGATCCAGCCTACAGCGACTTGATGCTTAAAATATACAAGAAGTTTTAGGCTTAACAAAAAAACAAGCAAAAATTGCCCAAACTCTTGAGTGGTAAATTCTGATATTCTTTACTGCCTCCAAGTTGCAAAGTAAAGTAGTTTGTTATTTCTCCTGGTTCTGACTTCTTAACACTTGCCACAAAATTTTAATTCTAAAACTCCGATTACACATTAACTACTTTTTTCATATTTTCCAAACTGAAACAAGGATGATAGATAGATTAGCAGTGCCTAGAGTCCCGTAAACATCATTACTAAAACTGCTGTATTTACACAATAATTATTAATTTACTTTGGGTATTCTATTAGTTGTAAGCTCTAGTTCAAGGTATAAAGATGCTTCCCTTGTCTAATTTGTCATCAGTTCCAACTTTAAAAATAAAAAAGTTACAAATGTGTTGGATACATGTTAAAAAATGTATTTTAACATACACATTTCTAGGTCTTGGCATATAAATATTGATGGGCAGATTGGCTTCTTAGTTTAAGGCAGAAAGCATGTTAACAGGGGAATTTTTTTTTTTTTTTTAAGATTTTTTTTTTTTTAATTAATTTATTTGAGAGAGAGAATGAGATAGAGAGAGAGAGCATGAGACAGGGGAGGGTCAGAGGGAGAAGCAGACTCCCTGCTGAGCAGGGAGCCCGATGCGGGACTCGATCCTGGGACTCCAGGATCATGCCCTGAGCCGAAGGCAGTCGCTTAACCAACTGAGCCACCCAGGCGCCCCAACAGGGGAACTTTTAAAAGTCAGTCCTTCTGTTCCTTTATCTAATGAATTTCCAAAGGCAGAGAATAATCCTACAAACTGGCAAATGCTCTCTCATCAGGTATGTGCATTGTATATACTATAGAAAAATGAAGGATATTATACCAGCCCTGTTATGGAAAATGAATTGTTAAGATCTGGAACTTAGTATATAAATGGTAAAATCATCTTTCTTTTTCTTAAGTATAGCTAATTGTGCCACAAAGAAGGAAAAAAATCTGAGAGAAATCATATTTACTGTAATAATAGTTTCTATAACTCTAGGAAAATATCTTATGATTTAAATTCTTATATTCATTATTCAAAGAACTTGAAAAAACATGTCATCACTATCACTACTCAAAGTAATGCAAAATAAAATGTTAGAACTTCAAGACTCATTGTTCAGCATTAGAAGTGTTTTTTGTCTTCTTTTTTGGAAGGAGAAGTTAATTAGGAAGTTAATTACAATTGGCAAAAATATTTCACTCTTCTCTAGATACGAAAAAATTATCTGGCCCAAGATGATACCTACAATTAATACTTCACCAGTAGAGATAGAGATAAAACTAGTTTTTTCTTTATCATTTTCCATATTCTTACTTACTGATGCCTACTAATTTAGACAGAGAAATACAAACCTGTAAGTTATTTATGGCTTGTTTGGTGTCTTAAAGAAATTACACACTATCCAATCACCAAAAACCAAAACAAAACCACTTGTGAATCAGATTTAAATGGTTAAGCTGACTGTGCAAAATACAAAATACAAAAAGGAAATATGAACTAAGGCAAATGAGAAAAATTATTTTCAAAGCTCTAGAAGACAGCCATGGAATATTACTTGTTCACTGATCATATTACAGATTTTGTGTAATTAATAAACAATTAGATAGTAACAATTTTAGGTACACCTTTATTTTTCTTAATTTTGTCTATTACCTAAAGTTATGCCTCTCACACAGCAGGCATCCAATAAACATTTTTGAACGACTATACCATTTAAAGAAATTAATTTATAAATAAAGTCTGCCTAATTGTATTTGTCTATCTGACATGCAGAATTAGACTATTAAATTCCAGTAAGAGACATGCTGCTGAACATCGACACAATTTCACTGATACACACTTCTTTCATAAAACTACATACCACATCTGCAGCATAATCTATAACACATAACACAGTGTTTTACACACATTCCAATCCCCCATTTCACCTCTACAATTTTTAAGTATTGATGAATTGCTCCCTGCCAAAGAAGTCACATTATATACAACAAACCTTCAGTTTAAATACAGGAACAAGCTTGCTGTTAACAACTTAGTTTGAAATGTTAACAATCCTTAGGCTGTTAACATAACAACTGGCCATTTAATGACCAATTTAAGAGGAAATTATACTCTGAGAAATGAATATATTGGCAATCAGGACCAGGGTTTTGATTTGAAAGGGTATGATTTTTTTTTTAACAAGTTAACGAACATTAGAAGTTCGAGCCTATTGGAAATTAAGTTATGTTACCAAAAAAATCTATCTTAGAGAAAGATAAGCATTTCTGATACGGAAACTGTTTTGCTAAATCGTTTTCAACAAAACACTTACTTGAGACTATCAAATGGCAGTTTAACATCATATTTTTATTACCATAAAGAAGAATAACACAAAACAAGTCTAAGGTTTCTTTCTGTGCTTGCTACTATATTCACAACTGCAAAACAGTTTAACTCACGATACAGGTAGTTCATTGGCCAAGTATAAATTTTTAAAATCCAGCTATATCAACATACTTTCTTTAAATCTTACTTAATTTTTACCTTTATTGCTTATTAGAACACCTTAATCTCGCCCAGACTATACAAGCTCCTTGTTTTGGAATCATTGTTACATAAATCCACTTGACACACTGCAGTTGTAAACAGATGTAAAAGTCAAAAAAAGAGTCAAAAAAGCCATGACTATTGGTTAGTGAAGATAAAGCAAAACTAGGAAGCATTGTTAAATCACTGAAAGCAAATGCAAACGCTTTATGTGGAAATGAGGCTCTAATTGACAATGAGCAGAGGAAAAAATTTTTTATTTCAAAGAAAAAGTTCAAAGACTGAAGTTCTAAGAGAATTCATGGAATAAGTTAATTCTGATTAGTTGTGCCACCACAATAAGGGAAATCCTGGCTATAGAGTCACTCCCCATTGTTGGCACCCTGCATGTATTTAGTGCCCTTGGAACACAGAGGACTAGAAACAAGTGGTCATAATTAGCCAGGAGGCTGTCAGATGAGGCAGTCCTAGGAGGGGGAAAGAGTAGAATCTGATAAACAGTCCTGGATTCACCCTTTTAAACTACCTCTAATCAAATGATAAATATTTTTAGATAAAGATTAAATCAGACCAAGAAATGACTGAATTATATACAGGGAAGCACCAGATTCCCTAGAAAACACTTCTCCAAATGACCAAGATGGTTAAGGAGCTAGGGCTGATTGGTAAATTTTGTGTCATAAAGGAAAAAAATTCAAAATAAATCGCTTAATGTCAGGCTAGAAAATGATTAATTGTATTAAATATGAAAACCCAAATGATGCCATATATCATTTCTCTAATTTGATAGGTCCTACTTTATTAATATATGTAATTTGCAGCTGAATCAAATCACAAAGTTCCCTGAAAAGCAAAATAATTTTTCTTAAATAGAAGTTCATGTGTTGAGTGCTAAATGCTGGGAAACAAGTTTAGTGGGCTTCACGGTTTTTTAAGCAAGAGCATAAGAATTGTTATCAAACTGTTCAGATGTTTACAGTTTAGAGGGTGGCTATCATCTCCCCATAATGATGGAGATCTTTACTGTGCTCATTTCCTTAATGCTACTGGCAAGTCTGAGGCTGTTAATGCTCAGTGATGTCTTTGTGATGGCCACTTGGAATGCCACTGAGGGTGGGGGGATGTATTCACACTTGGGGAAAGTTTTCAAAACTGTATAATAACCATGCTAATAAATACCAGCTAATTTCAAACTGTCTTTCTTTGACAAATCAGAAACAGAAGATAGCTGAGTAACTCTTGGGGTCAAGCTCAGCCTACCTTGTCCGTGGGGTGTAATACAACACTTACATGCTGATTTCTACCAAATACATCCTTGCCATGAACTGGCGGTTTCCTCTGGGCAGTGGAATCACCTATTTCTAAATCTGAGCATCCAGGCTGGCCAAATGGGAACACTTTAGATATGAGGCTTTCTTGGCCATTCCTTAAGCAAGAATTTGCATCCGAGGCACCTGGCGACATTTTGAAGGCTGACAGGTCAACATCTTTCAGGGATATAAGCTGGCCGTAAAGAAATGAAACCCCCAAAAAATACACTTACAAAAATATTTTAAAAGGTATCCAGTCATCACTGGTGTGCAAGGATAATTCCTACCTCAGATAGTCTCTGCGACAAAGGATAAGATTAGCTTTAGTGTACAGGGTGGAGCCCACCTCTCCCAAACGACAGTCACAGCAGGCACACTTCAAGCAGTCTTCATGCCAGTATTTGTCCAGTGCCTTTAGAAGATACCGGTCCTTGATCTTTCGGTTGCAGCCAGCACAACCTTTCGGCTTGGTGTCTGGCTGGACTGAGAGCATTTGTATACCTAAAGAAGACAAAAACAAGAAAGAGAGCTGGGACTACAAGAAGGAATCAGAAGAGGTCAAAAGACCTTACACAAGTTTCCTATTTAACGCTGCGTTTCTCGAGGAGCGTTAGACTTTCTTCTGTAGGGGCATACCAAATCACGCTAAATTCTGGAAACAAAAGGCTCAATCAAACATTAGACAGTCCTTATTAAATCATCTAGAAAGTCACGCATTCAAAGTGGTGAAAATAACACATTCTTGTTGTATATAGGGAGTTGGCATTGTATACACCAAGTTAAGCAACATTAAATAATTTTGTTTTCTCTAATAATTCTCTACATAGGGTGGTTCCTTTGGGAAGAAAATGTGAGTGAATGGCTAACAATCTTCAAGAAAGCTATTTAACAAACGAGTCCGTGCACAGCCTATAAGAGTCAAGAATGAGTTTTTCTCTATTGGTGAGAAATTTGCTTGCTGTGTGCTTGATGGTGGAAGAGGGGACACTCTTCTGGGATTACACTAACCTGACTTAGCAGTGGGCATGTTTATAGTTAAACACACAGTACAGTCATCCAAAAAGCTCACCAATATGATATTGCTTGTTTGCATCCAAATACTTCCTTCTGTGCTCTTGATATTTCAAAATTATTCTTTATGTTAAAATTTTTAAAATGAATCTATACTCACAAAAACTTCAGTCGGTGCCTCTATTAATGGCAGCTTACCTCACTATATACTACATGCTTTGATAGAAAACTAAAGTACAGGATTAATTTATTACCATAAACACGCACTTATTTATTTTATAAGGGAAAGAAAAAACAACAGAAGGTAAAATCTAAATACATATAAATTAAATAAACATATGTACATAAATATATTACATGCATATATCTATAGTGCACTAGACATAGGATGTTTATCTATTTTAGACATATATCTCCATCATGTATAAGGAGTCTAGCTGAGTTCTGTAGGTTTTACAACTGGACTGAAATTTTTTCAATGAAAGGCTATTCCCCTTTGAGTTTCTTCTTCTTTCCCAAGTGTCAAACACCCAGCTTAAAAAAAAAAAAAGAAAAAAAAAAAGCTGGACCAACTAGTCAGAACTTCATATTTATCAAGTAACTCATTCTAAGCACTATAAAATACTGTAGACATCATCGATTCCTAACTCCCTCATTTTACAAATTGTGATGCAGAGGCCTAAGAGCGTTTAAGGACTCGCTCAAAACTGAATGACAGTGAAGTACTAGATTTGGTGGTCTTCTTACAGTCCAGAGCTTCCACTCCTATAGGATGCTTCCTCTCCTACGCAGAAACTTTTAAACTATACAAAACACCAAATGTGGATGCACTTGAAACAGTTTCAAGAAAAGAAAAGCCAGGCTATGATCTTAGAGTATTTCCCTACTCCCAAGGAGCCAACCCTCCTTTAGTTTCCCTTATGCCTTCTCATGAAGGCTTCACGTCCATTACCTCCACAGTCTTTTTTTCTTTTTTCATCACACTGATAAGAGACACCGAGGCACTGTACTCTCAGAGCTGAGTAACTTTTCTCGTTACAAAGAATACATGGATTGCACATAACATCGTTATGATGCTGAACTTCCATTAGAAAAGAACTTCTCTGGCAGAGTAATGGAAGAGGGTATGGCAGGGAAGAAAGCATGATGTGCACAGCCGTGGTAGCTGGAGCTGCAGACTCGCGGCGGGAGTTGTGCCGAAGAGCAGGTGCTATTCCTATAGCCTGCTTTCTGTTCCTTTTCTTTGAAGGAGCTGAGGGTCTAGTGTAGATTAATCATAACCCTTGATAGCTCTGCTAAATCTCACTCTCTAGAACTTCTAACAAATGAAGTTTCTTTGATCAGAACTAGTTACCGTCTTCTAGCAAGGTTCCACAAGGAATAAATCCTATTAATTACAGTACAGAACATATCCAAGTGCCTCTTAACCATATACCTGGGGGGAGGGGGAAATTTTGATTTACGAAATGGCATTCTGTATTTTGCTATTGAAGACATCAAGAGATATGAGTGGCTATTCTGATTAGCCAATTTATAAGGCTATTATCTTTTCATATCACAAAGCTGAAAGAAATTTTAAAATCCTTTTCAGTTGTAGCTCAGCTATATTTCCCTCAGTTCAGTTACGACCATCAAGCGTAGAAGGTCAGCTATCTTTATTCAAAACACTTTGCAACCAAGACAGGGAATACCAACATTTGGCACAAGTAACACTACCCTGCTTGTCTTCACAAAATGTTTTTGTTGTGTTGACATTTTAATTTAGCACTCAGAGGCCAATTAATATTTGAAACTCTTACTTTCTGTTTGGCCTTGGGCTTGAAGGAGTTTGATATTTTGCACTCCAAAAACCTGGTGCCTTCTTTTAGAGAACATCATCACATTTCTCTTGGAGAGGAAATCGTTTCAATAGGATGCAAGTTAACAGTTGTAGAAAAAGAACTATTTAGTAGTCACTACATTGCCATGTACCTAAAAGACACAAAGCATCAGCAGCCCCCCTCACCATCCAGAAGAGCACGACTGGGTAGAGTTATGTGTTCAGAGCTGAGAAACATTTCACAAGTTGCTCATAGCACATCAGGACTCATAACTAGTTTTAGATTGGCATGTAAATTGTTCTGAGGGAAATTCTTATTGCCTCTGAGACCCTGCCATTCTGAGTTATTTGACAGTTTAAGGGAAATCATAATTAAAAAAAAGACATAAATAATCGCCTGTGCAGTGTGGTGTGCAGAAATAAGTAGAACCATTTCATTTAAACTCTGGTGAGCTTTTAATTGCCTGGATTGCATTGTGAGGCGGCCTAACGGTTGATTGCCTCCATTATGTTCCCTTGTTCGGTGCCATTCATCCGCGCAGGCTCAGCTTCAGTAGTTCACACAACAAAGTAACCACAACTCCACAACACACAGGGGCTTAAAAAAAATAATCATAATCAAAGATTTGCAGCACTTAGACACAGTCTTTTATATTTTTGGACTAACTACACATAGTGAATGGAAAACATTTTGTCCCTGTCGGAAGATTCACAGAGAACAATTTGGGAGAAGGAACAGGAAGAGGGAATACATAAAGGGGGTTGGCAGAGATGAGGTGCCTCAGGAAGATGCTAAAATGGGAATGCAGGTTCTGCAGCTGGGAGCAGTGACACAGATTAAAAGAATTTGGCCAACGTGGCCGTTCGATTGCCAAGAGGTACCAAACAAAAGATTTTCTCTCCTCCTGCCCATCTTCATCCTCTCCCCAGCCCCCAGACCCGACTGGAGAACTGGTTTGGGCCTAAAAGCTTGTTTCCCTCTGTTCACTGGCCCAGAGCATCCCTACAGGCTGCAGCCCCCTAAGGGACAACAATGCAAATAGATGTCCCCAGATCTCAGGCGCTGGAGCTGCTTAACTCTGTTCTGCCCCTTCAACTCCCAACCCCCTCCCCATCCTTCCACCACCCCCTCCCCTTTTTGAGCAATGGAGCTGGGAACCAATTTGATTCCCTTTTTCTCCAATGCAGCTGCAAGGCTCAGAGATACTGACATTTTTCCACTCTTATCAGTTTAATTACAGTTACCATGGCAGCAAAGTGCTAGTGCTTGGCAAAGGCCAACAAGAGATTTGCAAGACTGAGTTCAATTTTGATGCAGCTCACATGCAAAAAAAAAAAAAAAATAATAATAATAATAAAAATAAGAAACATACATACACTCTAACAAAGAATGCCTCGCGGAGTTTATGCTCTAGCCTTTTGTGGTCCTGTCTTTGCAGCCACACAGGGATGATTTGCAAAGAATGTAGCAGTATTTGTTGCACCTAGCAAGATTAATGGGTTTAAGCAGCAGTCTTTCAAAGCAGTTACAACAATAATATTTCGGATCTTTTAAAAAGACACAAAAGCAGCAGAAGAGCAGGAAAGCTTTTGAGCAGCCAAGAGTGCCGAGCGCCGGCAAAGTGCATCTATGATAGATTGTAACCTTACCAAAACTTTTCTCCTTTTTCTGCATGAGTTGACTTAGGCGTGCCTGAGTTGCAGCAGCTTCGCATTGAGCACCAAGCCCAAGGTAGAAGTGGAAGGGGCTCTCCTGGATTTAGCTCAAGTGTGGACCTGGTGCGCAGCCTACACCGCCGAGGACCGACTATTGTGAAGCCACTTTGGGAGCGGGTCGGAGTGGTGGCAGGGGGTGGGGGAAGGGATGAGGGCGGCCAGACGAGACAGAGCGCACACACAGAGCCCCTCGCAGTGTGGCAGTGTGCAAAATGATGGCGAATGACAAAGCCACATGCTTCCCTAACTCTGCCCGTAATCCTAAAATCCCAGCGGCCCCTTTTAGCTTCGTGGTAACAAATGGATTTGATTAAACTGTCACATGCAGCGTTAGCATAGCATATCATGTTCAATATGAAAAAGATCATAAATCTGACTTGTATTTCATAACAGCAATCTGGGTAGCCCCCGTAAAAATGTGCTGCATCAGTTTGAATCTCAGCCTCTTAGGACATAGGCACCTTGTTCCACGGAACCTCTCTTGTGGCCACTTCCCCCCCCCCCCCCCCCGGCAAATAGTCACTTTTCCATGTCGCAGGAACAACCTTTTCTTATTATGGAAAAGTGGGGAGAGGCAGAAGTGTGGACAAGAACCAAAAGATTGCAATTTCAACTCTTGGGGGAGGGGGGCTGTGGATTCCAGCAAGTACACAGAGTGGGTCCGGAACCCACCTAAGCGCTGACTTGCCTTCCAATGGGCCAGGCCAGAGCGAACCTCTCCTAATTCCCAACTCTCCCTGC